GAAGGCAACAAAACTAATAAAGAGGCTGGAGGATCTCAATTATGAGGAATGGCTACACAAATTAAAAGTATTTTTCCTGGAGAATAGACGCTGAAGAGATATGGTTAAAGTATACAAATATCTAAATGGTGATTTTAGCATGTGGAGAAAACTATTCAATCCCAGGTCACCCAGGTAGACACATGGCAGTTCAGTGAAGTTGGATGAGAAAAGGTTTAACCTCAAACTGTGTAGGGTTTTTTTTTACTGTTAGAGCAGTAAGGATGTGGAATACCCTTCCACAATCGGTGGCGTTAGCGGGAAGTGCCAAAAATGTATAACACTTTTAGATGGGCATCTTAGCTAACACAATATACAGGGATAAGGGAAGTGGTAGAGACATAAATGCATACACACAGCCACACCTACACAGGTGGATCTGGATGAAGTGATGTCTTTAATCACCCTTATCACTGTGTATAGTAAACCAAAAACATATTCAAGATAAAACGAATAAAAAAAAATAAAGTCCACTGAAGCATATACCACTATGTGGCTGACATATATTGTTTGTGAATCAAACACAGACAAAAAAAGGGTGTTTCCGTGCAGTCTTCAAAAAACAACCCTGTGTTCTTGTGCAATTCTTCAGTGTTCCTCCAACACCAATACAGAGAACTCACCAGATGGATATGACTACCCACTACAGGTCAGTCCTAATACGCTTGTTATATTTATATGGCACCTTCCACCACGTCTTAGGATTAGATGTCCCACTTATCCTCCAGCCATATGCATCATACCACGTAAAAGAGGAAGTAAAGGCCTTAAAGTACTTTTATTAGGTAAAAAGCAATGTAGTCTATTCCTATATCTAGTGATATCCCAGGTAAATATGCAAGTAAATTCAAACACTCAGCTGCCCACTCCAAAGAGTATTCAGTTCCAGAGTATATAGCATCACTTCCAGGTGTAGCATGCAGGATGATGACACTTCCTGGCCTACCCCATTCTCTGGCCATGAAGTGTCCTGTTCTCTGTATTGGTGGTGGAGGAGCACTGCATAATTGCATAAGAACACAGGGTTGTTTTTTTGAAAACTGTATGAAAGCACCCTTTTTTTTTTCTGTGTTTGACTCATGAACAATTTATGTCAGCCACTTGGTGGTATATGATATAGTGAACTTTATTTATTTTATCATGAATATGTTTTTGGTTTATTATGCAGAGTGATTTATGATGTTTGGTTGTAGCACATAGTGCTGTAAAGATTTATTTTGATGATTTAGAGTGTAAGAGCGCTTTGATTGCAGCTGCTTTTGTGCAAATGAACATTCATCCTAGCGCAGGTGTAAAATATATCTTGATACTATTTATTCACCTTTACCAACTATGTAACAAAATACTGTAAGTAATATAGCATAAATGCCTGTTAATCAAGCCCAATTAATTAGAAAAAAATAAAGATTTAAGTAAAAGACAGCTTTTACACTGTTTAAATATTTCAACCTTTTGAAAAATGCCTAATTGGCAACACTATAAAAATATGACAATCCTTCAAACTACATGCATATTATGCAAATTGTAGTTATTAGAACTTGCAGTGACAAAGTTAAGATGTCCTGGTGATGAGATACCTGATACTGTGAAAACAAAAGTATCTCTGAAATATTTTAGGGTCTTTAAAAAAAAAATCAAGTAGCAGATGTTGATTTTTTCTTTATTGTAATGCTATGTGGGAGATACAAGCAATTAAAAATGTTATTCAAGGCCTTACTGCATTACCTGTTTCAAATTACATGCTGATTTTAATAATCAATGTATTTATTAATTAACAAACCATTCAGAAGTGAACTATTTTAATGAGAAGCAGAACATGTTTAAACATATCTACTAATACCTGTTACCCTTTTATCATATCTGTTAATCAAATTCATAGTTAACTTTAATTTAAAAGATAAATACCCTGCAGAGATATTCATAAACATAACGCACGCACGAATACATTACTTTTAGTAAATATCTCAAATTAATTTGATATGCTTAAATGAAAATATTTTCCTTTTGGAAAAAATCTGAAAAAATCTTTTTTGAAGATAGCCCTTGACAGTAAGTGCGTCTGGTGGATGATGTTCTAGAGTATCTCTTTGCGCATGGTGATAATCCCCAAATGTCCATGGCAAAGCTAACATTTATATAGCCACAGATGAATGATGATCATCCCAACTATATCGTTTAAATATTTACAGAAGCCTCAGAGAGTGTATAGACACTCTTTTTGCTATTTTAGAAAAATCGATGCATTAATCTCCTGGGACACCAATGCTTTTATATTTTAGAGTGTTCTTAAATGCTTCTATATATTTTAATATTCTGAGGAATAAATCCAGACCACATTGAGTAAATATTCATCAAAACAGCATATTGTTACTGCATGCCTAACTACCAAGAATTACCATGGGGGTGTGTATGACACACTTGATACATTAAAATATTTGATTCCAGAATAGGATACTTTTTAGGAGTTAGTTTATTCCATTTTTTTATATGCTTTAAAACCTTAAAATAAATTTATGGTCACAGCATACTTTTTCATGCTATAACATCAGCATTGTAATAAGAATACAAACAATAGTTATAATTGGCAGTTCAATGTAAGCTTACTTGAAAATTTCCCTTTCATGTCGTGAGTGTTGCTGCCTGCTTGCTTGCCTTTTTTCCACAACTTCCTGGATTCCCTGCATGCTTTGTCGCTTCTCCTCAGGTGTTTACATTTAAATTCTTAGGACTGTATATCCTATGGTACCTTGCTGCAATCAATGATTCCTGTACTGACTCTGCCTCCTGAAACGCCTGTCAGAACTCCTATAGTTCAGAAGGCAAGCTCTGTGAAATGTGTGACACAGAAGTGCCTATTCACAATGCATTGTAAATACATGTCATAGAATTCCAGAAAGTATGTGGATCTTCATAAAGTAAGTTTACAAACCTCACAATCACTCAGATTAATAGGAGGAAACTACAAAAGATTTAAACTCAATGTGAAAATTAATCTATGATTTTAACTTTTGGCCATGGACACAATTTAGGCCAGGTATGGGTCACTATCACATTATACTTTATTAATCCATACTACATACAATATGCCACTTTCTGATAGATGGCTTAAAAATGTTGAGTTCAATGATGTAGCACGATGGTCATGATATATTAGGATACTGACATAGCATCATCAACAAAGTAAAATAAATTAGCTGTGTAAAAAATATAACAGATTTGCCCACCTCAAGAAGAACATATCTTGAGTGTGACTGAAACCACTGGTTTATTCAACAGCCCTAAAAGTGCATCCCTCATTTTGTTAACCTTTTTTGGATTGGCTTCTACAGGCATCATTGATCTGTTTCAGTTACTGTTTATCTATTTAAAACAGTGCATGAATATATTACTTTACACAGCATGTTGGATTCTAAGCATTCTATTCTCATTCTTCTTTTCATAGGACTTTAACCAATAAAAAGGAAGGGCTTGTAGTAAAATTAAACTAAAAATAAGTATGATTCTAAATTCACAAGTGACAACTGAAGGTCTTTAGCCTATAGCAACTAAACACATTTATGCAGAAAAATATTACATTTCCAGTTATTATGCCTCATGAAACATTTTTGACCCTAAATAAGAACAATCTCTATTACTGTGTAACATCTTAGATATACTATAAAATAATGGACTGGAGTGCATGACATTCATTTGTAATCTATGTTGTGTGAACTGTTAAACCTGCAAGCATTTTTTTTCTCACAGCATAAATACCCACCACTTAATTTTCTAAGTAATATCCTCTTGTTCAGTTTGTGTTGTTATACTACAAAAAATGGGATGTTTGTCAGAAAGAAACAACTAAAAAAAAACCTTAAAACCTTTATAGTTTTAGAAAAGTAATTAAAGACAATATCTCATATACACTATCACTTACCTGTAAGGGTCAACAGCTTGTGTTCATCTTTGAAATACTTCTGGTCTTTTGCCCATGTGGCAGGCTCTTACACCAGCATCTAGCACTTCAGGTGAAGACTATGGTTTACTAGGCTTAATGTAAAGTCACGAGCCATCAAATACAAAAGCAGTTCAGTCCTTATTGTTAATGCCTGATTAATATATTCTGTCTGGTGATTATAGCAATGTTAGTATACAGTAGAGCACTGCATGAACACTTTTTTATCAGTTCATTTTCAGGACCAGCTTTAGGGAGATCTGCTCCCTTGTTTTAGTGCAAGAAGTACCAATACACAAAGGTTTAGTAAAATGCCAAGATTCTTCAATTAAAATTCTTCAATTAAGGGAATCATTTGTGAAAGAAAGCGAGACCAGGACAGGAGAAATTGTAAGGATGGTCAGCATGACTAAGGCGAGGAACAGGTCAGAAAAGGGTAAATAATGTTAGTTGAGTGTGAAAGAAGTATACCTGATCCTGATTGCCTGGTTTGTGTGAGGGTGCTGGGTACTGGGATAGTTCAAACAAAGAAGAAGTTTTCCCACTGGCTCACCTTAGATTTGCGGTTTATTGTATGTCAAGGGTTGTGGGGAAGTATTATTTTGTTAAAAAACAAATAGATACAATTTGTCACAGCAGCTTGGTGGATCAGGGGGTCTTTGGGGAGTCAGTTAATATTTTTATTGTTACAAAACTGGTGGGGGCCTATCTAGGGTATGGTTGGTTATTGATGGTTCTCCCATGAGATAGATCCCTGAAGGAAAATGTAAGAACGTGTGAGTTTGTAATGTCTTCAATCCAGTTGGGGAGTGGCTGAGGGCACGGGTGACTCTAATTATTAAGTATGCCTTTACCACTTGCCTATAGGGCACTTATACCCCCTTCCTGCCCAGGCCAATTTTCAGCTTTCAGCACTGTCACACTTCTAATGACAATTGCGCGGTCATGCAACATTGTACTCATGAAATTTTTATAATTTGAGACAGATAGAGCTTTCTTTTGGTGGTATTTAATCACTTCTGGGTTTTTATTTTTTGTTAAATAAACCAAAAACAACTGAAATTTTTTTAAAAAATGTTTTTCTTAGTTTTTGTTAAAAAAAATTGTAAATAAGGGATTTTTCTCCTTCACTGATGTGTGCTAATGAGGTTGCAGTGATGGGCACTGATATGTTGCACTGATGGGCACTGATAGGTGGCACTGATAGGCACTAATGAGGAGGCACTGGTAGGTGGCACTGATGGGCATTGACAGGCTTGACTGATGGGCACTGAAAGGCAGTACTCATATATAGCACTGATAGGCGGCACTGATAGGTGGCACTGATAGGCAGCACTGACTGGCACTGATAGGCGGCAATGACTGGCACTGTCAGGTGGCACTGATAGGTGGCACTGACTGGCACTGATGGGCGGCACTGACTGACACTGATAGGTGGCTCTGACTGGCAATGATAGGTGGCACTGATTGGCATCACCGATAGGCAGCACTGACTGGCACTGATAGGTGGCACTGAAAGACAGCTCAGATGTGCACTGATATGCAGCATTGATGTACACTGGTAGGCACTGGCAGGTGGCATTGATGAACACTGACAGATGACACTGATGGGGCTACACTGATGATCAGTGTACATGTCCCCTCTGAGTAATGCAGATTACCGGCTCTCCTCACGAGCTGTCAGTGTGACAGCTCGTGAGGAGAGAAATGCCGATAACTGGCATTTCCTTATTTAAATGCGATCAGCTGTGATTGGACACAGCTGATCACATGACAGAGCCAACGTCATCGGCTCTTTCCGTTGATTGGTGATCCACTGTGCCCCAGGGGCTGCGCAAGCACAGTTAGAGTGGGAGGACATCATATGACGTCCTCCCAGAACGAGAGAACCGCCTTACGCCCATCATTTCCTTATATAGCAGGTGGGAGGCGGTTAAGGACACCCAAAAACTCTCTCCTGGTTGCATTGTCAAAATTGTTTATTGTTACCACTTGCCCTCCAGAGGATTTTCCCCCTTTCCTGACCAGGCCATTTTTGCGATATGGCACTGTGTTACTTTAACTGACAATTGCGCGATCATGCAATGCTGTACATAAATTAAATTTATGTCATTTTTTCCCCACAAATAGAGCTTTTTTTGGTGGTATTTGATCACCTCTATTTTTTTGTGCTATAAACAAAAAAAGACCAATAGTTTTGAAATAAAAAAAAAATGTGTCTTTTTGCTACAAAACATATCCAATAAAAAAATTTAAAAAAATCAAATTTGTTCATAAAGGTCTTCAGAAATTTAGGTCAAAATATAATCTGCTACATGTCTTTGCTAAAAAAAAATCCTAATAAGTGTATATTAATTGGTTTACGTGAAAGTTATAGCATCTACAAATGGTGGCATATATACTGGAATTTATTTTTTTTTTATGCTAGTAATGGCTGTGATCAGTGACTTGTAGCCGAACTGCAGGACTGCGGCAGGTATTCTAACACTGGGTGGGAACTGACTCCCCCAGTAACACTAATACAGTGATCAGTGCTAATAAAAAGCACTAATACTGTACTAATGACACTAAGCAGGAAGGGATTAACATCTGGCAAAGGGTTAGCTGTGTGCTGTCTGTGTTTTAGTAGGGAGACATGCTGCTTTGTATCTCTCTGCTGTGCAGAGAGATACAAACCAGCATGTCCATGCTGACAAGAGAGAGATCTGTGTTGTTTACACATAGATCTCCCCTCTCAACCCTGCCGACGATCATTAAGTCCCAGCCAGGAATTGCTAGCCGGGATCCAGTGATTGACATCCCCAGCAGCCAACTTCTGCTATAGGGCGGAGGGCAATTGGTTAAAGCGGAGTTCCAGGTGAAAAAAAAAAAAAAAAAAAAAGTCAGCAGCTACAAAAACTGTAGCGCTGACTTTCAAAATACAGACACTTACCTGTCCCTCAGTCCAGCGGTGTCCTCACCACGGCAGGTTTCACTGGCAATCTTCTCTCACCGGCGCCGGCATCTTCAGTTTGAGCACCCTGCTGTGACAGCTTGTGGCCTTACAGCTGGGTGCCCACTGCGCATGTGCAAGTATCGCTACACTTTGTGAATGGTCCATAGTCTTCTGGGACCTGTCACATGTCCCAGAAGACCATGGGGAGGGAAGGGGGAGGACAACTTCCTCTTCCAATCGCCTTAGGTGATCACACTGGACGTACGAATTTGACAGGTACCCGCTTCCCCCACCCCCCGTTCCCCAAAGGTGCCAATTCTTAACAGGGAGTGGGGTACACAGCCTTAAAGCAGAACTTCCCCTTTTGGGTGGAGCTCCGATTTAATATGATGTTATTTACAGGCTTACCTCGGTTTACGAACGCCTCGGATAACGTAATTTTCGGTTTACGAATGAAAATCCATTGAAAATAATGCCTCGGTTTACAAATTTTTTTTTGCAATATGAAGCAAGTTTCCCCAGGATGCATTGCACCTGGGAGGTTTATAACACCAGCTCTGTGCCTTTAAAGTGCACCTTATAAAGAGTTTTGAACAGATAACACTTTTTTTTTACTTTTTTCTGACCTCAGGAACGGATTAAGTGGTTTTCAATGCATTTACGAATTTTTTTCGCAAAACAAATTAAGTTTCCCCAGGATGAATTGTACCTGGGAGGTTTATAGCACTGGCCCCGTGCATGCTGAAGTCTGTGGGTAGCAGGTGGCGTCGAATGTGGAGGTGTTGGAGCAGTTTTTACATTGAGTTTTGGAGCCATTCTGGAAATTTTTAATCATGTCCCTGTACAGTATTTATACCTTTAAAGTGCACTTTATAAAGAGTTTTGAACAGGTAAAATACTTTTTTTTTACTTTTTACTGACCTCCGGAACAGATTAATTGGTTTTCAATGCATTCCTATGGGAAACCGTTTCAAATTTTTCGCAATACGAAACGTTCCGGAGAACGCATTAAATACGTAAACTGAGGTACACCTTGTATTTCATTTGTAAATAAAATAGCTGCTATGACCATTTCAACCCATGTCATGCAGTCTATGTTATTATTTTAGGGTTGGTGGAAGGACCTAGGTTGATGAACCTTTTAGTTAAAAAAGAGGTTGGTAAAAATGTTGGTGGGCTATGGAATGAGAGAATGTAGAGCCACAAAGGTGAATCTAATCATATAGAATCTAATAACGATTTAGAAAACTAAAACTGACATGATTCCATTATTTTTATGTAACATAGAATTATCATTCTTAGTTTCAACATATTTTTTTTTTCCTGAACTGTATTAAAAGTCTCTTTAAAAACCTACTTTCAGTTCTACTAGCAGTGGGGTTGTGAGAAATGATGCCCAACAATGGTGCAGGATGTCCTTGTATCGTGTTATTGTGTGTCTGTGTCTATTTTTTTTTTTTTTGTAGCTTCCATCCTGTTCCACCAATCTAACTTACCTGGTTGCGCTTGTTCAAATATTAAAAGCACCTATAGCATGTGTGACAAGTTTTGATGGATTCATGTGGGTTACTATTGCAAGGCTTCCTTCCAAAATCAGTATGCCTTTAGTATGAATGACGTTTCCTGCTGATTAATTTATGTTCAAGGCTAGATGGTTGCTTGAAAGCTAACATCAGGGGTTATTGAAAGATTTTCTTCCGTTTCATCCTCCTATATTGTGGGCTGTAACTGTTTGAATGTATTTTCTTTACCTTCTATTTCAAGATTGTATGCAATGATGTAGTGATGAAGGAACTGAGCAATGTTTGAATCACTGAATGTTTTCTGATCAAATGAAAATATCCACAAACCCAGAAAATAGCACCAGAACCCCACTGAAGTCTATGGAAGCCTAATTTTGTAACTTTTTTCTGGCCTTTTCCCAGGCTAATTTGCGAGTCTTTGCTAAGAAAGCATGGGTAGCTGGGTATACAGTACATGTATCAATATAAAAATAATTTTTGAAAAATATCATTTAGAGATCTTGGTAAACCTGTAGGATGTAAAGCAGCAAAAGTGACATTTAAAAAACTTACCGCTACGTTCTGGGTTGGCTTTGTTCTGTTTATAAACAAAGTGGCTAGAGAATCTGTGCAACATCTATACCAAGCCCTTACCCAAGATTTTTTTAAGGGAGACACAAAAGAGCAAAAAAAATGAAAGGCATGGGGTCCCCCCCAAAATTATTGCAGATCCTTATCCTTAAGGCCCCCCTGGCAAAGCATCTAGTCCCCATGTTGATGGGAACAAGGTGTTCCCTTAAAATAAATGGGCCCCCAGATATCTGGCCCTCCCCCTATGTAAATCAAAAAAGGGTATCCCTGGTTACTAATTCTCCCAAAAAATAAAATGTCAAATCAATAATAACATTAATCATATCATCAATCATATCAGCAATGTTGATCCATTGTCAATCACAATGAACATTGATCCTCTTTTACCAATTCTTAATTACAAATGAAAACTCCCCAACTGGAAACTGAATGTCAATGAACCTGCTGGTGATCCCAGGTGATTAACCAAATATGATCAATTATGTCAGGCAGCACCCCTGCCTGTTTGATTACATTGTTATGGAGAGTCAGGGGGAGAGGATTTGCCATGACACATTTACTTCTATGATGCATTTATGATATTGCAGGACTTTTTTATATCTTGGGACGTAATTTTTTTCTTAAAATTAAAGGATTTTATCTTCTGTTTGTTTGCTTATTTACTATGTAACTTTTTTGCTAATGAGTAACCAGGGGTTGGATCCATCGTCCTTTACAATGAACAGCGTGCAGCCAAACCAAACACAACAGCCTGCCCAAAATGATCCTGTTGCCAATGGACACTTGATGTGAATTACAAGTAACCATCCAGCTACTGAATGTCAACAAGCTGGCCAGTGATGGTGACTGACGACATTAACCAAATTTGGTCAGGACTGAGGTTCAGGTGGTGATAAATTTGGCAAGACAGCTAGAGTTCAGGTCTATCCCAAAGTTTATTCCTAGTTAATAGCAATAAAGGGCTGTTTTTTCTCTTTGTGATATGCAGTAGAAGACTTTGCCTTTGGGTCTTTAGTGCAGTGTTCTTGATAGCATGGATGGTTTTGTTGCTTTAACATTTCTTTTTCTAGTGCCAATGTCAACACCATTTCTATTTTCTCTGGGAAAGAGCATATGCGCTAGTATGTAGTGTCTGTTTTGTATGTGGTATCTAATTGCTTGACTGCATATGATGGCTCCCAGGGGTAGGAGTGAAAGCTGGTAATGTGTGCATAATTTGGCAACCTTTATGGCTACTGTGGAGTCCAGAAAGATTTCAGACATAGTTGGATGAGGGAAGTTTTCTTCTCTCTTTGTCTTGCATTTATTGTGTTCCTGATTGTTGATATAACACACAAATATTGCCTGCTTTGACCTGTTTGTATTGCCTGTTTACAAATGAAACTGTTGCCTGATTATTTTGTACTTTGCTTTGGATTTCAGTCAGCTCATCCATTGTTACCAGTGGGAATTGGGCTGCCCAGGCTGTCATGTAGTGACACCCTAACCATCTTGCATTTGTCCCTGGAGAAGCACTTTTTAGACTCAGGGGAGCACAAGCTTTCTATTAGGTTATCAGAAGGTCTACACAAAACTTCTGATATCATCTATTTTATTTCATTACAAAAAATTAAATTTATTAAATATTGCCAATTCAGAAAATAGCTGAAATAAGAAAATTAATTTTATTTATCAGGCATTATTCACTGAAAATAA